GACCTTGAGTGGCTTAGAAAATCCAGCGAGCCTTGGAAAACAGTTGAAGAGAAAAGGAAAAATACATGTAATATTAGACTTGAAGAGACTAAAAATATAACAGTATCTGACTACATGAATGAGTACCCTATTTTAAAAAAGCCGACAGGGTATCAGCTACTTCTAATTGATTCTACGTTTTAATTAATAAAAGTGTTGATTCTTATTATTGATTGTTTTTCTTTTATTGGCATTTTCTGCGGGAACTGTCGTGTATCGACGTGATTGCTTAAAGTTCAGAGCTTTTATTTTTCGGAAAACTTAATGAATCTTGAGAAATAAAAGCACATTTTAAGCAATCACGTCTTTACCGACAGTTCCGGTGGAAAAAGTCAACTACTTTTTTCTGGTCCATTTACAAAATAAGAAGTTACCTACACAATACTCTATTGTTGTCATTACAAGTCATTTTATAATGTGAACGTATCATTATGTTCCATTTATAATACAATATTTGTCAGAGGTACACAACAAATCGTATTAGTAATTTTTTTTGTTGTAAATTAAACGATGACATTCAGTAAATTTAATTAAACGTTTATATGTTATTTACAAAACTTTAGATTAACAACGCAAACTTTCTTGTTGGTAGAACAAAAAAGGATTGTAGACCTGAAAAATTAAATAGTAAAATTAACAATAACAATGTGACAACTACAATTCATGTTTAACTAGAATCATTGTGTAACGCTTACGATACGAGTGGTCGTCACATATAGAGCAATAAATATTGTAATGGTAACCAGAATATGGTTACACATACCAGAATAATTTTTCCGTGAGGGGTCTCTTCAATGGCATCGCGATACGCAGCCACCGCTTCTTCAGCATTCATAAACCGCTTTCCTTTAAGTTTTTCTTTAATTTTTGGAAATAAATAAAAATCACAAGGCGCGAGGTCGGGGCTATACGGCGGGTGACCCAGTAATTCAACGTTTGATGTCGCCAAATAGTCGATCGTTCGCTTGGCGGTGTGCGACGAGGCGTTGTCGTGGTGAAGGAGGATCCTACTGCGAGGTCGTTTCTCTCGAACTTTTTCCAAGACAAGTGGCAAACAATTGGTAGTGTACCATTCTGCAGAAACTGTTTTTTGATCCTCTAACACAATTGTTGCAAAATGACCTATCCTTCCAAAGAACGAGGCCACCATTTTTTTTCCCACACTTCGATCTCTCTTCACTTTAGTTGGCAACTCCTCGAAAGGAAACACCCACTGAGCAGATTGTCTTTTGGTTTTAGGATCATAACAGTAAATCCAGCTTTCGTCACCTGTTAGTATGTCGAACACAGCATTTGAGTCACCTCCGTTAAATCTTTCAATCATTTTACGACACCAATCCACACGATGGAGTTTTTGAGCCTCAGTCAAATTATGAGGTATCCACCGGGCGCAAAGCTTCCTGACCGCTAAATGTTCGTGGAGGATTTTGTGCACTTGACTCATACCGATGCCTAAGCTTGTCCGAATCTGTTGATAGGTCACTCTTTTGTCAGTCTCTATCATACGCCGCACAACACAGATGTTATCTTCAGTCGTCGCCGTAGAAGGCCGTCCCTCACGTAAATCATCAGTGAGATTAGTGCGACCACGTTTAAACTCATTAAACCAGTTGTAAACAGTCGCACGAGATGGGGCTTCATCGTGAAAGGCCAATCGTAGTCTATCATAACTTTCTTGTTGACTTAAATGACATCGAAAGTCATAAAAAATCATTGCACGAAAATTTTCTCGTGTTAAATTCATGATGACGTGACACAGACAATTTTCAATTTGCCGCCAAATCGTAAAACAAATGACAAATGAATGAAATAAATACTCAGTAATATTGGCAAAGAGTTATATTTTCAAATTTTAGAATTATTTTTTTATTAGATTGTTTATAAGTGGCCAGTTCTAAGAACTTTCAGTTTGACCCTCGTACTAAGGTACTTAATTATTGTTATTGTATAATATTTTTGTAAAAAAGTTTTTACATTTACAAAAGATAGTACACAATAACAGGTCAAAATGTGAACCTTAAAGTTACTACGTATCAGCACAGCATATCAGATGCTATAAGGTTACGGAAAAAATTTAAGTGTTTGTAGATTGTTCTGAAGATTATGTGTAAAAAAATATTGTTGAAAGGAAAGGTCTTAAAATTTTATTATATAGATTAGAAATTTCCTATTGGAGACATTTTTAGTTTAATTAAGTATCACGTATGTATTATACCAACGCAATTCATTCATCTGTTAATAATATTATGTATTTCAACTACGTTAATAAAATGCAACTGTTTTACTGCAATCAGCAATAAAATGTCAAATATGAACTTTCTAGACCATGGCAAAAGCCTTACTTAATATAAAATAGTAAGTGACAATAGACTCACCGATGAATGGTGGTAATAATTATATTCATTTTAAAACTATTTTCTTTTACAAAACAACATAAAAACATATCAATGACTTCTGTATATAGATGGAAGATAAATAAAAGTACAAAATATATTTTCCCGCACCACTCGGTATTTTTGTCAGTCAATATTTAAGTATTAAAAGAATTTGAATAAGCGAAGCTAATGATTTGTAAATGTAATCGATCCACTGTTTATTATATGATTTGTTAATCTTATACTAAAACGATATAAAACCGTAACATATGACCCCAAATTAGCAAATAAAAGAAGAAAAACGACAGTCTTGCCAACTTCTAAAATAGTTTTTGGTATATTACAATACAAGAGACAATTAGCTTATCTTTATCATAAAATAAATAAAGAAATACAAATATCCTTAAAAAGTTATAATGAGTGTAAATATAATTAAAGAAATCGATAAAGACCCTAAATCAGAGGTTCCCAAAATTTTTTTTCTCGTAGACCATTTTAATAAATGTACTGGTTTCGGTGGAATTCTTCCAAAATGTGAAGATCTAACGATGGAAATTAACGCAAACGTAGACCCCTGTTGAATCCTTGAATACTTAGGGAATCACTGCCCTAAATTAACACACACACACACACAGACACACCAGCAATCTATGTACTATCGGTAAAGTATACGGTTATACTGGTTAGTCAAAGCAGACGTCTGTTATCGAAAACTAATGGTTTCAGAAAACGAAAGAACATGTGTATACCATATTTAGTGTAAATATAATTGATACCTTACCACTTTCTTCTTTATTTTTTAAATATTAACTATGCAAAAATAAATCTGTTATTTATACGGATTATGATGGATGACCCGGTCATAAATATTATCTGCGACGCTTTTAAGTAAACTTAAACAGAATAAAGATTTTGTTGATATCACTCACTCAGATATACCATTATCCAAAAAAACTTCCCGAGTCAACTGTCTTTGATAGGGGGGGGGACTGCTTGTTGTTGATAGTAGGTCTACTGATATACTGTGGAATGCATTCTTATCAATAACAAAAATAATTATTTTAAATGATGCCATAAACGTTCTGGAAGGTTTATCTTAAATGCAACATCTATAGCTCTTCTTAGACTGAATTGCGTTAGATGGTATTTGAGTCTCATTCGACATTTTTACTAGTATAAGAAAATTTATTTATACGCTTTGGTTTAATTCATCTAAAAAGTTAGTAGAGAAAGGTTTATTTTGATAAGAAAATAATCTACGACACTACTGCAAATTTTAATATCATTATGACGATCGAAGTTTAAAATACATATTTACTGAGTCTTCATGACAATTAAAATGATATACGTATATGTACTTGTATTAAACATGCATGTACAACATGTATTTTTTATTATATAATGTTGTTGACCAGAAAAGTATTTAACACAATATTTAGTTATCAGTTTCTTAATAACAAAGTTAAACAAAACGTTAATTGGTAAAAATACGTATTTTTACCGATTAACGTTACTATATTTACTGTTATACATTAATAATATCGTGAAAATATACTTTTTTAATTATAAGGTAACTAATTATAAATTATTTTAATTAAATTATAAGTACTATTATTAAAATTTGATTTAAATTTTATTTGGAATTCATTGTTATAGTGCCAACGAAGTTTTGAGAGGCGCCGACAAAGAATAATCATTGTTATTACTTTTATTAAATGCAACCAATATTTTATCATTATTATTAGTTTTACTATTTGCAAACGGTATTTTATTGTGATTGTAGTTTATTTTTAATTTATAAATGACTTATTTTACATGAAAGAAGACAAGTTTTTACTTATAATAAAAACAAGAAAGGACCCATGTTTGCGCCTTGGGGAACACATATAACAAACATCTTTTTTTTTCTTTTCAACACTCAAAATATTAGACAATAAATCTAATTCCACGTGGTGCCTCCAAATCCACAGTTGTTAAGAATAAATATGTAAATAGTAGTGAAGTTTTCTTACAAATTCTTGACGTCTGTATCATTAACATGACACTAGTTAACTGTTAACTGGTTAAAAAGGTTAACTGTAAAGGTTAACTGTTTTTAATGAATTTTAGATAAGTCACAGAATACCCCCATTGTCATGATACTATCTCACAGATACTATCCTATGATACTATCCCAGACAACAAGAATTTGTTACTATAGACTCATCGGCAATCGGTTATTGAACGACCTTTCATAAAACCAAACTGTTAACAATTGTTTTTTTTTTTGTAATAATAAGCCAGCAATATTTTTTCAGAGATCTAGTTTAATAGGTGTACCAAAAAATAAAACTTTAATTCCCTAGATCACATGTTTTCATTACCGGGTAAGTTTTTAACGTTGCGCTTAAATCCCTACTTTGTTAATAGAATTCTGGGTTTAAGAGAATTCTATAAACAAAGTACCTGACCTATTAAGACCTATTAAGAGGGTAAAGGTTATCGTTTTCTAACATCTGTGTCTAAATTAACTGATATATTATCGCTGTTCGAATAGGTTAATACGTCTTACAACGAGAAATACGTAAATATAAGAAAGCTTTGTACCATATCACACTCCTCTGGATCGGCGACCATGCCTTTCATTTTGTAGCGGACGCCCTCCTTGGCAAGGCGACCCGCAAACTCTTCGCCGGTGCCAGTCTGAGAGCCATAGAATACCACGAGACTCCTGCCTGATGATTTCAGCTTCTTGATGAAGGAATTCTCTGCCACTTGTATCGAACCCGCAGTTCTGTAATAAATAATGATATTCACTTTATTTACGCGTATAAATCAATCAAGAGTAACACTGACGCAGTATGACACTGTGATATTTTCTTTGATAACATGGTTATAGATTCTCAACACGGTAAAACTCAGAATCTATGATTGTTATACAATAATGATAATAGCAATTTTTTTTTTGATAATTTATTAAATGCTATGCTATGCTTTATTAAATGCTTTTTTTAGTTACGTATAAGTTAAATATTGTATAATTTTCAATGTCAGTCATTATAGATTATGCCCGACTCTCGTTAATTCAGCTTGTTTTACTTATATTACCATATGTACTAATAAGATAATCATGGATAAACATGCTACATTTATTATTAATTCTTTAAATAAATGTGTAGCACAAATTATAATGAGCGCGTTGAAATCTTTTTTATAATAGTTTTATAGTAAAAAAAACTGTGCGCGTATTACTTGAAAACAGCTGGAAGTAGTGACATCATATGTACCAATTCTATGGTAGACTTATAAGACCTTAGTCTACCAGTTTCAAGTAATAAAAATAATGTTTTAAAATTAAATACATGTAATTTTAGTATAAGTAAAACTATATATATGAACTTATGCTTTAAAATAAATAGAGTTTACATATATTTTCATGTCGTTTTTTCAATTCCCCTTCATTGGTGGTGTTTTACTTATTTAAATAAAGTGAAAAAGTGACTAACTAGCTACACTTTGTTATACAATATGACCGATAAATAATAAAGTATACAATATTATTTTTCAATAATTACTCATTAAGATTATTAAGTAATCTTCTAATCTTACAATATAAGGTGTCGCTTACAAAATAAGTCACATATTTACGAGTATATAACGATATTGACATACTTTTTTCACTATAACAATAATAATTCAAAAGAATAACTAAGAAATTAAATATATTTGAATTTGAAAGATAATTTATATTTACCGAGACAATTTTATTAATCATTTTTTTGGCCAACCACTTAGAATATACGTCCTCTACGGACTTCCGTGGGGATTGTTTAATTAAGGGGGTAAAATTAAACAGAAGTTTTGAAATCATGTATTCTAGTTTGATATAAAACCAAAACTACTGCCTGTTATGCTGTATTAAAATCAGCTTCGAACTCGACGTCGAGCACAGTACTGTTACAGCATAGAGGTTCAATCAAGTAAAATCTTTATTATGTAGCCATGGCAACTGAGTTTCACAACCGGTTGTGATGTTCTTTCTTGACAACTAGTTGCGATAAAAGTTTTTTCTTCTTACATGGAATCAGTTATTAACAAAGAATTCTTTTACAGGCATGGCTACTGACTTTCGCAAACGGTTAGGAATGCCTCACATAGGACAAGGTTTTGAAAAAAAAAATTGTAAATGAACATTCATAGAAAACATACGCGTAATTTAGACACACGGGCCTCCTCCTTTTTGGTTTTAAAGTCGGTTAAAAATCTTTCAGATTTTGTTTTTGGTTACCTTTTTACACAAACATTAAAAACGAAAATACTATTTTTTTAAATTTACAATATAATTATTATTTATAACTAACATTCTAACATTGAACTTCGACCTCGACACAATTGACAATGTTAGACGGTGTAACTGATGACAAATATTTTTAAAAGAACGCGTCGACTTGTTTCCTTATAAATATATAAATAAATAGAATCTAAATTGCAATATGTGTTATTCTTAATAAATATAAATTACAATTTGCTAGAAGTATGCATGTTTGCACTGGATGGAATAGACCAATTAGAACAATCAGTGGATCCACTATACAGAGTGATTTCGAAGTTTATCTTCCAGTTTTCTAAAATATTATTTCGAGATTAATCATTAAAGTGAAGGTAAACAGATTGATAATTAACCTTGGGCATACATATAGAGCATGAATATCACAATTCCCGCGTCGGCAAAACACTATTAAAAATGACTACTGTTTATTTATAATTACAAAACGTTAACACGCATATGAAAATACTGATTTATTAAACGCTCTATAAAATAGTATACTTTTAGCAATAGTTATTATCATGTCTGACTTTTGACCTAAGGAGACTTAAAAAAATGTCTACTGAGATAAACCTACATAAATAAACAAATATTATCGTACTATTTTATTGTTCAAATACTTTTTTTATATTCTTCAAAGTATTTGCACGCACGACTGATTAATAAGGCATAATGTTAGTTAGAGAAATAAACTACCGTCTCTATAAGGCAGATGACTCACCCACCTATATGTAGCGGGCGGACATCGCCAAAGAGATTATTAAAAAAACTGCCGTATTAGCCATCACGCTACTCGTATGTGCCACAAAAAATGTCGTCGTCATAATAATAGAGCAGTAAAAAAATGAGATACGATTATTTTACAGTGCCTCGATAAGCTGCAATACGAGCGATTTAAATTCCCATCAGTTTAAAACAAAATTATCATACACAAACACTTTTTGTATTCCGTGTGTATGTCAGAGCAGTGGCGGACTAAGGGGGGAGCACGGAGCCCTCTGGACCTGGAGGACTTCCAAATGGCTTTAGCTATCCGCCAAAATCTTAATAATATAATAAAGTCAAAAAATATATGTACGGGCAGAGGGAGGAGGATGTACTCGCAATATACATCGCCCACGCGCTATGTTTCTATCCCGTTTGAAAAAAGTTGTCGATACGGGCCCATTGCCGCCCCGGGCCCCCGAGGACGTAAGTGCGCCACTGTGTCCATAGTATTAAATAATACGTTAATTAAAGAGTTTTCTTGTATATTTATTCCGTAATTTACTGTTGAGAATCATAACTGAAAGTCATAATTTGAGAAATCAGAAATTTACAATATCATATTTTAGTGTTCGTCTACATTACAACTATAATAATGTACGGCACATAACTAACGTCATCTCATCGCAGACGTCATAAAAATTTAAAAAAATTAAATATGTATAATTAATTGATTGACGTCTAATCTCCAAGTTGACAACACATACATGTCTGATTTTGTAAAAATACTACTACAAAAATACATTGCAGTTTAGTATAAACGTTTTACAATGGGCCTACGACCCATCCTTTCTTTATAATATTAGGGGATAAAGCAATAAAGTATGAAATTGCCGTTTGATAGTAATAGATACGTACTTGGAATTGACGTAAAACCTTCATGGTGCGAGATTGCAGAGTTTTTTTTCTTTCTTGTTTTAAAAAAATTAAATAATCGATATTCACATCCCTTTAGGTATTATTATTAATCTAAGATTCACATTTTTTTTATTCAGCTTAAACCATAGATAAATATTTTCCGAGACAGTTCCGACAGCGATATAACACAGGTATCCCTCTCGGCCCGGTCCGTTGCGGCATGTTAAGGCAACATTATGTTTCAAGGCTACGTCGTCGTTGGAGTACGACGGGTTCGATAGAAGACACTTGCAATAGGGCCCGCTCTTCATTGAAAATGTCTCGAAATTACAATTAAGCATAGTGAATGATTTTTGGGAAATATGAACTTCCGATTTGATACATCCGTCATATTGTTTTTAAAAAATAATTAAATCTGATTGTTATGTTTTTTAAATGGGCGCCATCAGAGTGCGAGAACAGATTCTATAAAGATTTTAAAATTAAAAAATATCAATCCAGATTCATTATTTTTGAAGAACAATAAAGACAGATGAATCAAAGAAGTTCAAGTTTCCGTAGAATCATCCAAAAATCTCAGATCTGCCATATTTTCAACATTCAAAGAATCGTTTGACATTTTAAACGAATTGCTTTTAAAATGATAGTCCACATAATTAGAAGCGGTTCGAAGTATAATGTTTGTATTTGATAGAATATAACCATTTCAAGTTCAATGAGTTACGTGGTAGAGCAGCTGGAAATTAAATAGATTAATATAATTTACCTAGCAAATTTTGATACGGACTTAATCTTATCTTGTCAGCTAGTTTTCATTTCCTACTCCAACGTTTATACTTATTGTATTTATAGCAAACACAAAAGAAACTTACGAAACAATCACGTTGTTTTTAATTACTAAATAAATAAAAATACTAAATATTTTATTTCGCAAATAAATCTTATCTATGTTAAATTGTCGACTTTGATAAAACAAGTTAAGAGTATCTACAGAAAGTATTTTTTTCGCTTGTCATGGATGAGTTATTTTATATTAAACTTCTAACTGGTGACTTATATGTGGTTTATAGGTGATTTATAAAATTTGTTGCGAACAGAACAGAATCATTAAACGATTTATAATAACATGGTAACATAGTTTAGTCTCTAACTTTAGGGTAGTTATTACCGCAAACGTAAATCGGTCATTCTGTGGGACTAACAACGAACCTATTTAAGACCAAATTTAATAAAGTAACAATGAAACCATCTTCGTGTGATATATGTTTAAGATGTGATTTAAGCGCCAAAATAACCATCACTTGCTAAAACTATTTGTATTAATACTTATTAATTTTCACGAACAAGCCTTTTATAGTTAGGGTTAAAATCAGCTTTCTGCGTCATAGGGGTAACAGAAAGGTTAGGAAACACTGTTTTAAAGTAATAAATTAGGCACATTAAGAATACGATAACTCTTTTTAAAAAACCTCCACTCAAAATTTTATCTTTAGAGATCACATTAAATGTAGTACTGTCGCATTAACAGACGCGAGGACATTACATGAGCGGATTCATTACACTTAAGGCACTCGTTAATTGTTGACCTATAATTCTTATACGGCCTATTCTACAGAATTGCACAAACACCTCCGACCTTCAGTTGTCGGGCAGGTCCGAGTATGACGTCAATATGTAAAGGTATCCAAATCCAGTCAAACCACACGATATGCATATATTACTTAAGGCCTACGTGTACTACTATTCGTATCAAAATTATAATAAGTAATTTAACGACGACCAGCTATACATTTATATGGATACACATAATTTGTTAGAAACCGGTCCTCGATGACGTTAGTGAATGACTGAAGGTCAAACTTATTATAATAATCGATATGTTATCGTAATTAAATGATAGGAATAATATACCTCGATATTATTTTACTAATAACATTTATAATTAGTCAAGTACTCATAGGAATTTATTACACTTAGAGGAAGAGGTGTTGGTAAGCTCTACGGCGCACTTTTAACACAAATTTCTCGACTTTATCATGCTTGGTGTACTAAATGAAAGCAGGACGAGGAAAGGAACACGACACATATTGGATACCAATTTTACGGATTCAAAGTCTAAAGTAGTAACGTAACATCTAATAGTTGTAAAAAAAAAATTTCACAAAATTAAAGACGAAACTCTGTGTCAAGGTAATAACCTTATCGTGTTGATAACATACTTATTGTGTCCGAGATACATGACCATGAGACTAGTTTTTCATTATTATATGACGCTAGTGCCTTTATCTTTTAACTGACTTCTTTTGTAGACTAACAAGTTTAGCAAAGCATTTTAGCTTACTAGCATTAGCTTGCTATGTCGGCTTGAAAAAACTCGTGTAAACCAAGCATGAATTATATAAAAAAAGAAAAAATATAATAGTGATTAAAATGAAAAAATATACTGACTGTTTATTAGAATCGTCGTTAGTTTTATCATTTATCAATACAAAGGTGAAAATAATCTAAAAATATAGTCAACAGGCAAATTAGGTAATTCAAAAATATCAAATAGAGTTTAAACCTTAATTCAAAGAACGTAAAGTTTCAAATTGATTACGGAAATGTGACTATTTGTGGTAATTTTATGTGTACATACATTTTTATGAATCCGTTCAGCCAGTTGTTTCCGTGTAATGAAGTAAAAAATATGTATAAACCATCATCATAGTATATTAATGTTCACACTATGGTATTACAGGCCCCTTTCTTATGGATGGAACCGAATAGAGGTTCGATGAAAAAATAAAAACTTTATTATATTTTGATGTAGGTGCTCGGCGTCGAATTCGACGTTGTTTACATTACAGGATAGGACTGCTGACCATAACCATAGGTTCTAATAACCATAACAACCTTAAATATTATTTTTTATTAATCGACTTCGATCGCAGGTCTATAAACTCTTGCAATTTTATTGCATTTAGTTTGTTTTTTATAATCTAGCAATACCTACTTAATATTCCGAGCCGAACATTACTTTAGTCTTCATAATTACTTATTTAATATTTGAATACATGATCTTTTAATTTCATTTTGCCATCCACTCTTTTTGCATACTTAATTATGTACATAGATACTATTAGCTTTTATAATTCTTAAATTCTCTCCTTACATAACTCGTTTTTATTGATTTAACATTATTTTCACCTTCACTGAATCTAAAAAGATAACCGTTGATATTTATTGATAAATCTTAGCTGATTCATTTATTTCAACAAACAATTAACAATTAGGTACCTAATGGCAGACCGTTAACGAGAATTTGATACAGGCAACTACACAATATTAGATAATAACAACCTAGACAAAGGTTTTATACTGTTACCTTATGATGAACAGGGTAGGTAGTAGAACAGCAATAAAAATAAGTCATGACAATAGTCAATAATAAAATAAACACATTGGCTATATTTTGCATGCATTTAATGCAGTAAAGCATTCTGTGAATGCAAAATAAAAAAGAAAGATTAGTCCAAATGCTGTGGAATGTCAAAATAAGTATATAAAAAAACAGCTTGTAGACAAATAACAAATATAAAAAACAAATCAGGGGTGATACTCACCCGAGAATTGGGATATGTTTGGGGATGACACCCCGATGTGAAAAAATATTGCCACTATCAGCCCCATTACTTTAGCGGTTCCAAACGACAATAGCTATTACACTCAATGCCACCAGCTCCGGCGAAAACATTTCCCATTCCATCCTATTTCACTAATATTATAAATTATATTTAAATGCATGTACACACGGCTGCACGTCAATGTATAGCATTGTGGACTTTGACCGACCGCGCTTCGTATAGAACTTCCCTACTGACAGAGCTCTGCTTACGGTGGTGATGTGTAAGGTCGACGACGTTAAGCCGGTACATATTCAACATGGGCGCCACCTCTTTTCTGTGTTCTGTGCCGCGGCTGAAATTCGTAGCGGCGGCGTGCTGAAGAATATTACTTTTTCTCTTTAAGAATAAACCAAGAGCATACCATCCCAGCTACAGAAAATATCTTTTTTTGATGACCCTCACTAGGGGAGGGAAGAAGGATCCGTGATCCTGCAAGGAGCCGGACCTAACCACATTTTGGGACTCTGTTAAGGTTCTCCCTCTGCGGACGGGGAAAAGAGCAGGTGACGGTGGCGGGGGTAGGCGGGTACAACAAGGATAATATTGGCAGCCGCCGACGGCACGCCGGTTATCATGACGCGGTCGTACTGGGCTCCAAAACCACTAATCACCCAATGCCTACGCTTAACTCTTTTCTTTGGCTCATTCTTTGTAAAGGTGATCTTGAACCGGGCCGGGTGTAGACCTGCCGAATCAAAGGCCCTTCACCCAAAAGTGAGGATGCATCAGCGAGCGTTTAGTAGGTATACCTACGCGTTTAGACTAGCCCTCGGGCGGTTGTGTGGATGAAGAGTATAATACACCCCTGCCGTCTGTGAAAGAAATGGGGACAGTGCATAATGTACGATACTTCTCCCCCTACACGCAATAAGGTGCTAACAGCAGGACATACAACATATTCTTGATGTACGATTAGATAACAGCGAAATAATACTTTTTCTTCTCTAACGAGAAACATGACAGATCTTTTCTTCAAGACAGCCAGCATTCTGGATCAAGTGGATTATTTTCTATCCCTGGATCGATATCAGCTTTGCTATGCTATGTTTTTTAAACAGTTGATCAATATAGATGAAGAACTGCTGATGCTTACAGACACTGTATTCTGATCATTTGTTATTGTTACTTTTTCACGCAACTACTGAACGTATTTTGATGAAATTTGGATCATAGGCTACTATTTAACCTACTAAAAAGTGCCCTAAAGGTAAATATTTTGTCAGGTCATCGTGTAAACATAGGTGTGAGTCACACAGATGGAAACCACGCGGCCGAAACCGCTAGCGAAGAGCTAGTAGAGCTATACCTATACCTGTATTACCATCACTCCATGGTGACACCACTATTTTTTCAGCGCGTGTCAATCACATATGTTGGTTATGAACATATACGAGACAACAAATAGTATTCTGCTAGTATAGTACATACACACTACGCAGTCAGGTAGCCACAAAATTTCCATATTCAACTTTGAAATCGATTACAGAATCAGACAGATCTATTCAACCTGTTAATGTTGTTAAATGAAATTAGGTATTTAGGTAGGTATCTGGAAGACCTCGACGTTCAAAAATATCTCGTGCAATAACCAATTACACCTAATTGAACGTTACTATGTAGAGCTGTAATCAAATACTTACTTAAATAACAAAATACTGCCTATCATAACATAGTGATTGTCTTTCCATTTTCTACTGATAGTAGCACATGCTTACATACTTTGCCAGATAGGTGCACATTTTCCAGAGTAGGTAAGTAAGTATAATAGTGATGCAACGAATACGAATATGTATTCGGCGAAAATCATGGCGAAATTTTATTTTTTACAAAAGTAATAGCGAAATGCTATTACGTATAAATTTTATTATAGCAAAATGTATTAAATGAGGAAGTATTTAAAAAAAACATTAGTTCCCGAAATCAAAGTAGATGTCGCTACGGTACTTTCTTTATTTCTCCATGACAACCCTTCCGGTGTTTGTCATATACCTATAAAAGTAAATTAATTTTCAAAACTCAATAAACAACTCATATTCTATTTATACTTTTTCGTATTAGTATTTTTTTTAATATTTTAGTTAAAAGGAAATGAAAACAAAAAGAAAGAGCAGTGTAAATTTATTTCTAAGCTAAATTATTAGTTTTGGCCGAATAATAGAATCGATATTCGTATTCAATAAAGTAGTATTCGTTACATCACTGGTACTAAAGAAACTTGCAACAAATGCACAATCATGTTCATGCCCGATTACATGACACCAGTAACAAATATTACAAGTCGATAAATAAGTATTATTGGTGTACTTACTGGATTGAGTATTTACTAAGCACAATCTCATCTTTCTTGCTTTCTTTCCTGGAGCTGTATAACCACCAAACCGCAGCTCCCAATAAAACAATAAGCATAACTATATCGAAAGTGCTGAAAAGTGATGATCCAGCGACCGCCGCGGCGGCATCCTGCACGACATCCTGTGCGCTTTCTGACATTTTGGAGGTTATGAATTACACTATGTATTTTTAATATTACTTTACTTGATATCAATTAAATATAAAGTCAAATATTAGTAAATAATACACTCCGCGATAATATCGTGGAACGTTTATTGAAAAACGTCCTATCACGAATACAACACAAATCACACTGAGACAGACTGACAATTTGCATGGTTTGCTTGTGTTGGTTGATGACGGAATTTGTATTTGGTTTGTTTGAGTGAATACGAATGCTAGTGTATCGTCATGAGCAGAGCAGCCCGTCCCGATACCCGCGCCGGTTCGTGAAGACTCGACTGTTGCCGACGGTCACCGAGTAAAGTGAGTACGTGAGTCGTTATAAACGAGATAGTCCGACTAACAACAGCCACGTGCCATTGCCATGCACGAATTACGGAGATCCATAAGAGCAAGTCCTGCGAAATGGCCGGACAACCGTGGTCACACATAATTGCGCAGTTGGTTCAATAAATGAAAAATAACCTGATTTTAAATATTTCGTAATACGCAGTACCACATCAAAGGCACGTGATGCTCATTAACTTAATATCAACAACGATAACAATAACGGAATAGCTGCAATCTGAGGAACCTACCAATAAGAAAACAAAGACGGTCTAACCTTCTTTCTATTTTCGTCCAAGTTGTTAGGGAACTTAGTTTACAATCTACAGCTTAGTATATTTAAAGTACTTCGTAACTTATGTTACTAAGCTAATATATGGGAAGGATCTTTTAGTTATCATATTTATTCTATTATAATATGAAAAAATACATGTAGATAAAATGATAATGATATGAGGGATTGAATCACTTCCAACTATTGAAAAGTGTCTTCTAGAATAGATAAACCTTCGATAATATTCAATTTCCTATAGATAGATGAACCCTTATTGAAACAAAAATCTAAAGATCGATACAGAATTAGGCATTTCAACTAGTTATTGTATCGTAATCTTCTCAGCGAACTCTTTTTATTTCATTGATATTTATGTGCAAAAGATAACTAGGTAGTCCGCTATCCTTCTTGAATGGTCCGTAATATTGCATTATTTTCATATTATCCTACAGCAAACCCTTTTGATTTTGAAAACCGTACCATGAATGATTAAAAATGCACGAAAAAAAATATTATGACTCCATCACATATTGTTCTGTGTCAGCTTTACATTAGATTTATTATGTCGTAATTTAGTCAACCATATAGGGCAAATAAATACCCATTTTTTTTAAATCCCCTATTTAATAAAAACAGTTATTTTTATTAGAAAGATTGTTTATTATATTTTCTAAAGAGATCAACAAAATGTTATATTTAGATTGGAATAATATAAACAATCAACATTAAGCGAAATATAGCACTTTTTACCAGTACTCGACCTAATGTGCACCACAAGTCAAGCGTCTCGTATTCTATAGTCGGCCTCTTACCAACTTACATACTCTTGCATATTCTACTTACAAATTATTTAATGTATACATTTTTATAGACATCAAATAAACCAGTAAATTCGGTATATTTTAAATAACCGCAATTAATATTCTTTAAATTCTCTTGTAACTATTTTTGGACTTCAACGGCAGCTTTTATTTTTTTTATTGTGATTTCTTTTTGTCTTTTTCTGTTCCTTTACTTCAACTTTCTACTTTTCAGACTTTTTCTGGACATGATGAGTTTCTTTCTATAATCCAAGATTGTATGCAAAAATAAACTAGATGTAATCCTAATTAAACGACAATAAGATTTAATTTTATGCAGCAAAACTAATGGCCGACTACTGGGGCTCTATTTTTGAATCATTCGTCTCGCGTCGAGCGCTCGTTTTCTACTGATTTTCGTTCGACTTAACAAATTCGCCATTTCTAAATCGCTCGACTGCAACGAGTGGTATGAACCACTCGTCGCTTAGCGAACGTTGTATGCGAGTGATAGAAGAAAACGAGCGCTCGACGCGAGACGAATGATTCAAAAATAGAGCCCCTGGAGTGATAAGTCTATTAGTTGGTCATCAACATACAGTCATTTTATCCAGGGCTCAGTACTGGTAAAATTAACATATTTTCATCTAAGAGTTATTCAATCGAAAGCAAAAAATATGAACTACAGTAAGTATGAATTTCAACGAAATTAAAGAAAATCCTACTAAAACCAGTAGAACCGGCCGCTTCAGGCCGAGCACTGGATCAACCCTAGAAAATTGATATCCAGTAGTGGCCCACTTAATTATAATGTAATTACCAAATAAAATGCCTCTAACGCTAAATTAAATTACAACACAAACCTTTCATAATAATATAACATAAAAATCCACCAGAATTCAAAGCAAACTCGTGAAAAATCTTATCTACATAATAAACAGCCTCATGAAAAAAATTAGAATAGTGACGCTTTCGATCATGTCGTTGGCGGCAGTGAAAATTAACAAATACAGCTCATCAACCGGTCATGCTTTTGATTCGAAGATGTACGTATTAATGAATAAGGGAACATGATTCGCTCAGATGGTATTATCATTTCAATGGTATAAAAACAAGTTCAATACCATTTATATGACTTTAAACCCTATATGTTATTGTGCAAGATTTGGCTAACATACATGAAAGTTGAAATAAAAACTTTTAAAAAGAATGACTGGAAAGATCCTTAGACAGGTCAGAATTGCGAACACCACGTTTTATTTCCATATTTTAATCGCTGTTACATTTTTAAATGCAAATTCTCAATTTTGAATATTCAGAAAACTAGGTAAGAAAACGGCCAAGAGAGACTCCATACAAATACGTATTACATTTTTATAATAAGATATTCAATATTTATTATCTTTGTATTAATTTTTTTTACTCCATATTGACAATAGTATAGGTTTTGTTGATATATGATATTTAGCAAAAATTCCACATCCTACAGCAAAGAATCCTCTGATGCGCATAAGCTGGTAACCACCAGCGTCGAATAGAAGAATAAAAAAATTGCTCTTATAAATCGTCCGTCCTCTATTTTAATATTTATTAACTACATGATGAAACGTGGGGTCATCTGCTCAAGGTGACGGCCAGTGGCGGTTGCAAGGCGACGAGACCGCGGCGACGACGCACAGTGAGCTACGCCGAGTTAACGATAAAAAAATTCAGTGTAGTTTTTTGCTTGAGTAAATTAACTGTATATTACCTATCTATTAAGTATAAGATGTAATGAACTAACTTTTCATCAGGCACTTGGCTCGCGTGATCCTATATTATACATTAAACCTCCCTCTTGAAGTACTATATATTATGATTGTGTAGTATAAAAGATCTCAACGTAGGTACAGACAGCGGGAAGGGACATCATTTAGTGCTATGTATAAAAAGATTATCATCGTCAATCAAGTATCATTCTAACAATGATATGTTCGTATATTAAAAACTTCAATGATTTATAAATTTTTGTTTGAGATCATCGTATCGTAACGAAAATCATATCACTTGTTGCTATATCAAATCGATTACTAGAAAATCTGAACGTTTCTCTTTCAGAGCCAAAACGAGCACTAAAATGTTACAGTAAAAATGTAATATTTCTACCATAAATTACTTATATTTAGTCTGGCCACAAATACTGTTGAAATTAAAAATAAAAAAAATATTACTTTAGAATTTGTGATCTGTCATTTTTAATATAATGATTATTTTCTTAAAGCGAGCCAATACATTATAAAATATTTTGTAATATTATATTGGGGTGATAAATAGAACCACATCGCTGTTATTTCAATACCCTCCATACGCTTGGCATCAGTGAAATGTTTGTGTACTATTGTTACTATTGATAGATGTAATATTGATAGTTACAATGAAACCTCCTCTGTTTGTGACAGAAAAAAATCTGACGGTCCACGTAGTATTCGTATGGAAAAAACTACTTTGAGTAAGGGAAATAATTCAAAAAAATCCTATCCGAATGCATACGATTTTATCTCGGGAGAAGAAGATAGCACCTAGAACGGTGTTTAATAGATACTTCTTAAAAAATAATTTAAAAAAGAATAGGGTGGTAAAATCAAAACAACTACTTTAGCGGTACGCAAAGGGAGGTCACAGAATTTTTTTTTACCCACGGAAGAGTAAATATTTACAATTTATCAATATTTTAACAAACAAAAAGGCATCAAAACATTGGCACAAGTATGTCAAGTTACCTACCATTCTCGAGAAGGTAGTTAAGTTTGTTGTGTTCAATCGCCAAGAATGGTCCTTTCAACAAAAATCCAAGTATCCCTACCAGTGGGGATTTGTCAGTAGCGATATGTGGAATAGGGGAAGACTGCGCCAGGTCATAAAGCTCGAACAACCCAATTTTGGTTAGAAACGAACGTTCTGTACTTCATCATAGCTCAAGATGCCCTGATCTAGTCCAGATCTTAATCCGCTGGATTATGATTTATGGTCAGTTTAAGAGAGTAATGCTCTAAACATCATGATAATTTGGAATCCCTAAAAACAATCCATACGATTGGCATTTAAGAATTTTCCCATGGAAAGAGAGCGTCCATTAATAACTGAATGGAGACCACTTCGGATAAGCAATATATATTTTAATGGTTTTAGACTAAAATCTGAAATATACGTATTTAACTTTGATATTGATCTACGAGGATATTGTGCTAAGCTAAGACTATCATTTATTGAAAAAATTTAAATTTTATGGGAGGAAATGTAATTTTGTTGATAATGATACTCCATAGATTATTTCATGGAGTAGATATAATCAATATTATATTAGGCAAATAATCAGTCTACTCAAGCATTTCTGTACTTAAAAACAATAGATTTTAATGTCTATAAAATTCGAATTTCAGTGCACTGTGCAACAGGCTGCCAGAACAGACGAGGCCAGAGGCAAACACTGACGCAAACTAATAAGGAATATGCGTCTGTTTAAAAAAAGGGTTAAATATATTTTATTACGATCATTATTGCTTTAGAATAAAGTAAATGATAATATTTTTAATCATAAATTCGTTTTAAAAATAATTATTAAAAAATGCAAAAAAAATGCGGTAGGATCTTCAAAATATTCAAACGCCATGCTACTTGTCAGAGCGGATGTGACGTAAATGTACACGTATAGGGATGTCGTTGTTACAAAAAGTTAACATCAATGTATTACGTCGCAAAATAAACAACAGATTACAATTTGAATGATATTTTAGGCTTTTATTTTTTTTTTCATAAATTTGGTAAGCTATATGATTTATTAAAAAAGCGCCAAAAATTCCGGTGTTTAAACTGCTCGTAGCTGTTACTTATTTTCATCAATTATTAATGTTACAAAATTTTAGTTTTACGGTGCCGGGTATTTTTTTGCAGTTATATAAATAAATATATGATAAAATACCCGGCACCATATATTATAATTTACATCGATATATATGATAATCG